CACCGGATAGACATCAATGTAAACCCTAAAAATTACTCTGTCTTGTTTTTGTTGAGTTTCATGGTGCATGGAGAAGTTATAAACCTGTCGGGGTAATTTAATAAATAGGTATGAATACGCTGCTTTATAGGGATTAATGGATATTAAACGATGTGCTACACTTTGATTCGAACTAAGTTACCACCGTTTTGCTATTGGATCATGAAACGCGCGACTTTTCGAGACACTGTGGCGGCAATCTTCGTTTGTCACGCTGGGACGCCAAACTTCTGAGACGTTACAGGGCCAAATCTACATCGTGTGCACCTACTCATGCACAGCAGACACAAATTTTCCCTTTGAGATCTTAAATGCTCACCAATTTTCGTATCGAATCCCACGCACCCCACGATTCTTCTCATGAGTCCTTCAGTCTACCCAGGAGAAAGGCGTCATCTGTCGCGCCTAAGAATGTGATACCTTCAGGGTGCTCTCATTTACCGCCCAACCAGCCTCACGACTCTATCTTTTATTCGGTCGAATTTCTTAGACTACTTTCGAATGTCTTCTGCTTTGACATAGATGGTCCCCTCCTAGAGTGTTTCAGAGTAGTAGGCCAGAATTCTCTAATCTGAACACACCCATGCTGCTGACCTTAGAGCGGGTGTCCATTTCGTTTTTACTGATTACGTTGAACCAAGACTTCTGTAGTGCCTTTTAAATGCTCACTGCTGTTCCATGCTGCCCTGTCACTTTGAGGAAATGATCAACCTCTCTAAGCTAAAAAACTTTCGACCCAACGACTGCCACTTTATGGTTGTGGAACTCTTAACGACCTCTACTATATATTAACTGTGTTCATTCCCGCCTTATCTCCTAAACTTCCAGGTGTCTTATAGGGAATATGTCAGATTGCTTCCTAAAACTGCCAGCCAAGTTGTCCACTTAGGATGTTAGAACGATGTTACCATAATCGAACTTGTTCAACCAGTTTATACGTAGTCCATCGTTGGTAGCAAATTTTTTATAATTACGTGTGCCCTTTGTAACTAAGGGTTGGTCAGCAGGTTTTCAGCGCTGATCCAAACAAAACGACAGACTTTCCAAACCCAGCTTGCGCACTTTTATTGAGCAACAGTTTTGCTCATTATGGACAGTTGATGCGTGGTAGAAGCTTCTTCTGGCGTTCGTCCATGGTGCATATGTAACTCAATACAAGGCACGCTTAGGTGCTTTTTATGTGAGTCCTTGCACTGGCAATCTTACTGTCTAGCGCTAAAAGCGCAAAGAAT